GTGTAGTGAATAAAATTGCTTGAAGGAGCACGTGATGTATTGTGGTAATCTCGAGTGTTATACAAACATGGCGTAGTTTTCATGAATGCTTGGCAAAGAGCATGATATATTGATCATGAATACTCAGATTGATGTTTATTATGCAGGTTATTCCCAAATAACTGGGCATAGTGCGAATGAAACTCGCATGTAAAATGCATGAGAAGGGTGCAACCCTAGGCTGTCTGTAGACTCCATACTCCTTGTATTCGAGCTAACGTGAAGATTATGTGGTTTGTGTCTTGTATCAGGTTGAGTATCCAGTCATGGTTGGTTAGATAGTCAAGAAATCCTATTAGGCTTGGGCGTTATTAAGCTAGGTTCGTCAATTGCAATTGATTAGGCATATAAATAAATGATGGGTGGTGCTAGGATTTGTACCAATGGCTGGTAAGAGAAAGAAGAAATACTAGGGATAATAAAGAACATATATACTTGATGCTATGTCTCCAAAGAACTTGATGCAATGTCTCCAAAGAAATAACTTTGGTCTCATATCCATAAAAAACTCACCAGAACTCTCACACCTTATTTCTTTTTTAGGGAATAATATATCCGAATAAATTAGACCTGATGGCTGATGCTAACTCACTAACAAGCTAATTCTAATTAAGACAATAAAAATAAAAAGATGAAGAGCAAAGAAGACTAGCCTTAAATTAATATATAGATTAACTTAACAAATGCTAACTAACCAACTTTCTCTTTTATTTTCCAAATGATTCCTAATCAAATTCTAAATAATCTAACTTTTATGACACAAGCAGTATCAAAATTCGATGAATTAGTCTCATGTTCTGTATTAAAATATTTGATATTTTCAAGCATACACCAGTTAACTGTATGTATGTTCTGTGTATGAGTATGAGATTGGTGCTTTGAGAATGATAAGAGATGGAAGCTACGTGAGTGTGAGTATGAGAGAAAACAGATAAGTGTTTTCTCTTGCAATATTTTTATCTATTAGTTATAGATTTTTTATACTGATGTCCTCTGAATTTAGGTCGAGCTTGGTAGACAAACCATGTAACTCTTTGTGTTCTAATGTTTCTGTCTTGTGTGCATGTTGATCTCATAGTGAGTTGAGATTGAAGGTAGGGATCCGCATCCCCAGTGGCAGTAACTGTCACTGCATTCAACTACAAGGTTTATCAGGTCAGAATTATGTGGCTTCTAGGCATACTATAATAATTTTCTTAGATATCAACTGAAACCAATAGCATGGTTCCTTAGATAATTCTTCTAGTTGTGCTTCCTTTAGATGAGGGTCGGAGTGTCTTTGTTGACGGAGGCGAAGATGGTAGAATCTCTGATGCTGAAGGACTCCACAACCATGGCGTCAGGCGTTTACATATGTCCATTTGGTGGTTGTATAACTTAGACAAAACTATTAATTAATCTAAAATATAGGGATAACTTTGATTCTGCCTAAACAAATCAACTAAGTATAATATTATCATAAAAAAATAAATGATAAACCAAAGGTTTTTTCTTCTGGTTTCTAAGGGAAAACTGTTTTCTTCTGACACAAGATCTGTTGTTCAAAGTTTTAAAGTTCTTGAAAGCCCAGATTCTGATAAAGGTTTATCAGGATGAAAAGTAGAGCAAACAGATCTACACATGAATAATTGGCTTACTATATAAATTAACAATATATCACCTCTAATGCTACTATTATATACTTAAAACTTTAACAATTTAACTTGGATAAACTGTATGGAAATATAAATTGAATAAGTAAAAGGCTGGGTGCTGCTAAGAATAAAAATATATAAAATATATCAATTCTTCCGAATGAAAATTGAGTTTTCTAATAATATCACATAGGTTATTCGATGCTTTAAAGTCACTTCTTGTTTCCGGTAAGCATGCATGGTATAAAAAGTAAATATAATTGAATCGCGAGTAATAAGCCTAATAAAACTCAACAACAATAGGACATCTCTAATGTCAACAATAAGACTATCATACAACATTTAATAACAATTTAGCCTTGGACAATAAAGAGTAGAGAAATATATATCATAGATTTCGGAGACGATGGTGGCTTCAATGATGGTGATGGTGATGGAGAGGAGTGGTGTTTCTGGTGCTGATGATGACGACAATGATGATGATGAGGATGATTTTGCCACTTTAGCCAATGTGCATGCCATGATAAAGAAGAAGATATAGAAGTACTTGGTACTGGTGTATATGCGGTTGTGAACGTTGTCATGCCTTTCATCATCAACATTACAATTGCAATGACTTTTTAGCAGAGGACGAGAATGTAACCATGCTCATCTGTTCTCTTTCTCAGTCTGCCTCTTTTGGAAGGTCAGTAATCCTTTTGAGATTTATAATTTCTCAAAGATATTGTTTAATTGCTTTGTGAAGATTTGAAGTTGAATAGCAATCCTATTTATACGGGAGGGACGTCTAATTCAAGGTTTGAGGGAGGATAAAGTGCTTGTTAATCACTGTATACTTAATAACAATAGGATTATGATATATGACATCCTAATAGGATTTGTCAGATTATTTCTTGTCTGACTCATGATAGGTGATGACTGCTTCATTAAACTAAGCATCCGAGTGTAATGAGGTTAGGATTATGAGGGTAACTAAAATATAAACAGAGAGAGATGGAAGTTGATTAGTATTATGAGATGCTTAGTTTCTTCTTTCAGATTGAAGTATTAGACAAAGTGAAAAGCTAGAAGATATAGGGGTTGTCTCTGATTGCTTAATATGATGATCCAGAATTGGCTTATGCTCTGCTTAGATCCTACTAGCTTCAACTTATTAGTTGGAGATATTACAAAAGATAAGAAAAATATGAATAAATTTTTATCTATTTTAAAAATGAATGATCAAATAAATAGACGTTTATGTAAAATGAGGATGAACCATAAAAAGCAATTGCATTGCAAAATAAGCAATAGATGGTTGAAAGAATTTACGATTAAATAGATGATGTAGAATTGGTTATTATATATTATGACTGTTTAACACACTTGGCGATTGATTCGTAGTGAAGATTTACGGTTACACATCGGAACCTGACTCCGTAACTTATTTATGTGATATATGAAATATAACATTGTTTTGCGCTTAGACCTAACCACCAGATTATTAGCAGGAAAACAAGCTTCAGAACACAAACTAATGCAAAAAGCAAAAATAAATCGATACAAACTAGAAGCCTTAAACTAATAAATAATAATGATAATAATGATAATAATAATAATAATAATAATAATAATAATAATAATAATAATAATAATAATAATAATAATAATAATAATAATAATAATAATAATAATAATAATAATAATAAATAAATAAATAAATAAATCAATCAACTACAGAAAGAATTTATTACGAACATAAAAAATGATATTGCATCAAATACGATAATAACGTTAACAGTAGAGGAGGCAGTTAGTGCCCTTAATGGTGAGTTAGAAACCAGTACTGTAGAGAGGCTCACCTGAGAAGGAGCTTACGAGCATGCTTTAAACACAAATGTCCGTGAAAAACCACAATACTATTAGAATAAAAAATTCATTCCAAATGTTTACAATGTGGTAAATAATCCCTCTAATAACAATGTCGAATACCTGAAATCAGTGGCGTAGCCAGGATTTTTTTTTTGCACTGGGAGAAAATATAATCCTAGCTGGCGATGAATCCCAAGGCGCAAATATCGACGAAGGAGATGCCTCATCCTCCTACTCCTTCGTCGTCGTAGTCGGCACAACCTAGCTTTGAGCGGGGAAGCGAGGAGAAGCTCCTCGAGCTCGATCGTCGAGGGGCTCCCCTCGTAAGAGTCAACGACGGGCCTCCAGAAGTCGACGACGTGACTTCCCGATTTTACTTTCTTATCCTGGGCAGATGCCCAGGGCAAGCTCCATGTGACTCCGCCACTGCCTGAAATGAATGGTAACTAAACGATAACTACTAATAAAAACACAAGAATAACTAGAAGCCATAAACTTCGTAGAGTTGCAAAAAGACTGTCAGCTATGAGTGAGCATCTTGAGAATTTGATGAAGCCGCTGGTGGAAGAATTTAGCTTGATATGGACTTGTACTTAGATTCTTCGATGGAGATGCAGCAGGCTCAGTCGATAATGGTAGATTGATACTGCCATATTCGAAGACTTCTGGCTTTAACATCTTTGGCGGTGACAATGGAGTATGTGTTTTTTTGATGCATATTGATGATGATCATGGTGATGTAGCAAGTGGTTTTTGTGACAATAGGGTATGAGAAGGTGGAACTATGACGGAGGAGCTTTCAATGGGTAGTGAGATTGATGACCTTGATAATGGAGAGAATACATGTCTAGATGATGACGGAGTAGGAGGTGAAATCATAGATGAAACATGGGTATTTGACTGCAGTTATGGGGTGGTGTGTGTCTCATTGATAGCAGAGGAGATGATGACGTCAGATGGAGGAGCAATTAATGATAACTATGATGGAGTAGGAGATGGGGATTTGAAGATGAATGAGGGCGAGCAGTAGGATAGAAGGTTCGATGACTATGGTGATGGAGAAGGAGCAATGGACATGGGTTGACAAATTGATAGCTGTGGTGACGGAGTCAGAAATGATGATGACTTTCTTGATAGAGTAGGAACATCGGAAGGG